AGACACAATGTGTTAGAAAGAGACCTTTCTCGTTTTCCTTACAGATATAAAGTCCTTTTCCAACACATTGTTTCTTATGACAAAAATCGAAATAATTTTTTTCTCGGAAACCGTTGGAGATAAACCTATCGAATTTTATATTTACGCAAAATAGCGAAAAATGACAAAACCTGTCAGTCGGGTGTCCCACTTTTTATGCTCATGACTGTACCTATACTATAAGGGATAACTTGGAGTTAGAAGGATTATGCCGTTTTCGCGAACGTTGGCTTCTTTTTTGTCAAACGAAAGATGCTGTTTACAGAACTGTCATCGCCTTTTTTGTTGGGATTCCCCTTGGACATCCCTTGTACACTTGCTCAGTCATAGAACTGGTACAGGCAATCGGTATTTTTTAAATTTGCCTAATGTGAGTCTGGCTTAACAACAAAAAGATGATAAAAAAAAGGTCGATTTACACAATACAACACAATAGGAGAATGCAAGTAAGATTCATTTCATGAAAGTTTGTATACTTTTGACATCGAGAATTTCATACATCTGTCAAAACTGACACTCCAACAATAACCATGTTTTGATTGTTGATTTGAACCAATTAGATTGGAATAACGCGATAAGTTGATGGTTGACTGCATTGACTTTTGAGCAATATCTAACAAGATTGCAGGGCTGGGACTTTGCTGCAACGAATAGATATATTTTCTCTATTTCTATTGACGTGCCCTCTCTATTGATTTCGAAAAGAGAAAAGAAGACAGCAAGGGCTATAGTTATAGGGATAACGATCTCTATCCGTTACAGAGTCCGAGCCCAGACTCCAATGTATGATATTTGTACACCTACTGCATGAGTGAAACACCGTCATTGGAAACATCCCTCGAGTATATGTCAGATTCCAGGCAGTTTTCAGTGTATTTTACATAATTTCGTAAGAGAAGCGTTATCAAAATTCTCTAGCCTATTTGGCCAATCAAATTTGACATATTTTTCAATGTATTTTTCAACAGTGCAATATATAAATGGTACCTACCTAACTATTTTGCATATCTGCAAAATCTATTGACATTTCTTAAAATTCGGCATTTTCAAATTTATTTCATATTCGTGTACGAGTTGCAATAAGATAACACTTCCAAAAAGTTCCGCACGCAGCTGGGTATTTTATGAATGAAATCAGCCGTTTTTTTTTACAACTGCATTCCCCTCACCGTTGCCGCGTAGACTTATCGCTGGGCAGACATTAGGTACCCTATTTCAAAAATATTTTGGAATTGGATCTACTCAGATATTTTACAGATTCTGGCAACTTGGCTTTCTGTTTCATAACCCTGAAATTTAAAAAATATTTTGTCATGAAATATCTATCAATATTATACGAGGGTCAACAGGCCAAATTTCGGCTCCGGTTCGAAAAGACGATATTCAAAACCGCAAACCGCGATATTCAAAATGGCGGTCTCATTTTAGCGATATTAATTAAAACAGCGACTCATCAAAACCGCGACATTCAAAACAGCGATAAGTTGAAAGATCGACATATTAAAAGAGCGACATCTCAGCAGAACAGCAGCCTATCAGAAGAGCGGCATTTGAACAACAGCGACATATCGAAAAACTTGTCTGTTAATGTCCTTTCATTTATCGTCGCTGACCGAGTCGCTGAGGTTAAGCTCGATGTTGCGCCACCTTCTGTCTGGGCACCTTTGACCTGTTTTAAGGCACTGTATGATAGCAACATCTCTTCTTCGTTAAGATCAGTGATATTATTTCCAATCAAATTTCCTGGGCTAACTTCAACATTGTCTTCTGACTCTTGCTATACCACTGTGTGACGAATGAGTAAGAAACAAATTGAATCAATAATAATCAAGAAAATGCAGAATTATTCAAACTAACCCAAAGTAACCCGTCCGCCTAGTGCGTTCTAGCTGTTTAGTTATAGTGTAGCGTCCCTTGAGCGCGCTTTGTTTTCCAAATAAAATATCAAGTCTGTTTTTTTTTTTTAAGATAATTCCCAAAGTCAAAAATTTAGTAACTATGGGCCATATTCTCCGTTGTTCATAAAGCCTGGCTTAGTGGAAACGCTTGGCTTTTTGTGTGACAAAGCCGAGCTTTTTCACTAAACGGAGAATATGGCCCTATGTTGGCAACACAAGCCTTTTCTACATAAAAAATTTGAAAGATTTGACAATTTTACATTGTATTGCCAACATAATGTCATTTTGACTTTTATCTTTAAAAAAAAAACAGATTTTAGATCTTTCTACCTAAATTCCAGTGGCGTAGTCAATTTTTCTCTGGAAGTGATAGTTTTCAAATTAAAGACCAAACATATTACATTTGATTTGTTCAAAAGAGAAACGGTAGGTATAATAATGATTCATTGATTTTTGTTTTTTTTTCAAAAACGTGCCGTTTTCATAATATTAGAATGTCTCAAGTTAAATGGACTACCCCAGGGGTTATTTACTAAGGGAAAAATGTGACAAGATTTCGAATTTAGAGCGATTTTGAGGGATTTCGGGTAATTTCGGAGGATTTCGGAGGATTGCGGAAAGATTTCGAGGGATTATTCACTGTGACGAGATTTCAGATTTAGAGCGATTTTGAGGGATTTCGGAAGATTTCGAAGGATTTCGGGTGATTTCGAAGGATTTCGGGTGATTTTGAAGGATTTCAGGTGATTTCGGAGAATTTCAGGTGATTTCGCAAATATTTTATTTTGATTTTAGACTGTTACTTATCTTATAAGTATCTTCGAAAGTGTATTAGTATAAACTGAAAAACGGCCGCGTTGACCAATTTATGAATTTTGGGCTAATTGCGAGGGATTTTTGGGTCTGCGGAAACATTTCTGAGAGATTTCGGCGGACTTCGGAGCGATTTCGTGGATTTCGGAAGGATTTCGGGGATTTCGGTAGGATTTCGGAAAGATTTCGGGGATTTCGGACGAATTTGTGACACGATTTCGGGAAGTGATTAACCCTTTACGGAACGCTGATCCAACCCGATCAGCGGCTGTTTGTTTTCTATCGTTCTCCGTTCTTCAATAAACACGATTAAGAAAAGACAAATTACATCAGCTATGGCTATCGGGTTAATCAGATCAGCGTTCTCGTAAAGACTCAAGTTACATGAATAAAATAGTGTTAATTTCTTGGTTTATTTTATCCTAAGTACGCATAGATTCAATACTAGGTACAGTCGTGAGCATTAAAAATGGGACACCCTATTTTTCCTATTGTAAAATGGGCTCACCAGCTACATCCTACATCGTCGGCAATGACAAGAATTGTCGTATTTGACAAAAAATACCTACGTTGTACAGAAAAGACTCATTTACCCGAATTAGCGAAAAATGACAAGACCTGTCAGTCGGGTGTCCCACTTATTTTAATGCTCACGACTGTATCTATATATGAGATATTAGAGAGTTATTGGACGTGCAATAAGGACAAGCAGTATTTAAATTGCCTTATTTAAGACAACTACGCATGCGCATTTAGGTCTGAAAATCGAGTTTGACGTTTCGCTTTTCGACGATGACGTGATTTTACTTAGATAATTTATTTTTTACAATAGTTTTGCATTTTACTGTAGGTATCATCAAAAAATAGGTATCAGCAGAAAATCACAAACAAAAAAAAAACTTTTTGAGGATGACTTTATGAACATAGCTATCAGCTGTCAAAATTATGAATACAAAATAAGGTAATACTTAACACCTACTACAGTCTCCCAATAACTGTTATTTTCTTGGACAAATAGTGCTGATGCGCTAAAAAAATAACGTAGATCTTAATACTGCGAGGCAGTATTTAATAATTCCAATAACTCTCTATATAAGAAAGTTCTCGTGCGTCAGACGCTACGCTAATACGGTACCGCTAGCAATACGGTATTTCACATGGTATTTTATAGTTCTCGAGCACGGAGACACATAAATCCTCTAATCCCTTATTCTGTTTACATTTTGACAGCTGAGTTGAGTAATCTAACTCCACTTTTTTTGCTCGTTTTCCAACTTTTATTTATTCTGGAGATTCCTGAGCTTGAATAATTTTCCCTTGGTGTTTTTTATGGAGGAATTATTAGAAGTTGCTGTTTTTGCCGACGTAATGGAGCGTAAACTAGTTTTCACAAGACATAGCGTTACGGTAAGGCAACCGGTAAGTTCCGTTAGATAGCGGGCTCCGCTAACGCTAATACCGTACGAACTGTCATACTTGTCGAATAGCGTTACGGTATTTGAAATTTGGACGGCACGAGAACTCTCTATTGTCTATAAGTAGTTCCTAGACAATAGAGGGTGTCCTATTCGAAATAGGCGAGTTGTCAAGTTGACAACAACTTCCGGTATAACCATCGACATTGCTATGTTGCCAAATTTTCAAAATTTTCCAAAGTTTATTTTTCGAGAACTCGATCACGGCACTTCGTCATGGAACACCTTCTATAGTGCATTCTAGCCATTTCTATTGTTTGTTTTACAGTCGTTCTGTTAAAATGAATTTTTGTTTCAAGTTTTTCAAGCATTACTGTTGTTCTCTCGGTCGTTCTATTAAACGAATGGAACATTTTATAAATTATAGATTTGTTTTATTGTATCAGTTTTAAGCTTTAAAGTTTTTTGAAGCGTTGTTCACAAGAAAATGTTAACAATTTAGCATCTTCTAATTTGATCCCATTTTCCGCAAATTTGTTTGAACCATATAGTTTCAATAAATCTTTCGCTGGATTTTAAAAATTCTGTTGTTTGGTGTCATGGTCATAGATAGCTGTGCTTTGTTGGTGCGAACAAAAGTGTAATGACATGATGAATAATAGTGGGCTTACCCTCTAGGCTACGCCACTGGCTTTATAGGGGATACACGTCAAACATCAACAAACATCCATGACAACAAATGAGGATAGAGTGATATGTTACATTAAAAATTAAAAAACCTTATTATGATAAGAGATGATAACATTCAAAGTAAACTTGCAATAATTAGACTTACGATAACAAGACAAGACCCCCTCGGCCCTCAGCTGAAGATAAAGCAAAAAAAAGATTGTTTGTACTGATCGACGGATTTAGCCGCGTAGGTACGACGGAGCCGAATCGAACACAAACGAAAACGTAAAAAAGATCGAACCAAATCAGCCGAACCGAACTCGAACACTCCCCGTACGTGTAATGTACGTAAAACCGATAAAAACACACCGAAAATGAGTAATCAAAAAAGAGAGTAAAGTATTTTTACAGTGTGCATCCGGCTCAACGTATAACTGCACGCTGAACGTGCGACAAAGAGGGAAATCGTCGCGGAACGAAGAGGAGTAGAAGCGAGAATGAAAACCTCTACTAGCAACGATGGACATTTACGGGGGGTACCGTGCACGGCGGGAGGGGAGAGGTTAGCAAAGCAATCGGACTGACACCCAAGCCTTGTGCCTGCTGCTGTGCCTAGTCCGGCCATCTTGTAACTGACGAAGCGCCCGTTTGTCCCTCGGATTTAAAACAACCCCGGAATTAAACAATTACGCGTAAATAATTAGCGCAAAACGCCGTACGTCCCTAATGAGTGACCCGATGAGTGCGTAAACCAATAACACTCACGTGCACTTACCGCACTAGCGAGACAATTAAAAATTCAATCCACCAAAAGAGGATTCCTTTATATTCGAGTAATACATTGTTTTTCTTGTGTGTGTTAAGTGAAGTAATAAAAATCGAAGTGTCTACAAAATACTTGAGTATATTATTATAATTTGGATACCGCAAGCTTCACGTAAGTAATCTCTTTCGTCATATTTAAATTATTATTGGTGTGTCGGTTCTTAATATCCCCCCATTTCTTTGTGCGGTCCTTGAGGCGATTTTTGGGCAAGACACTCGGCAGATGGTTTAATCAATTTTTCCCTTTGCTTTGAACTGTTTTTTTTTTGAGGTTAGAAGCGCGACCCAGTGTTTTTGTTTTCTTTTTCATAAACAAACACTTAACAACAAACATGGTAGTCTCAGCTGTCATTCATCGGTTTTTTTTTTCAAATTCAAACACTATACCTTTAAGGTATGTTCACACCATATAATTATTTTCACGCAAATTGATTTGATACCTGTTAAAAACCAGTTTACAAAATAGTGTGTCCATTTGAATGGTCGCCTTTAGATTCCCTACAATACAAATAGCTTAAAATTAAGAGGTAGAAGGCCGTTTACCCTTCATGAAACTTCAATTATTGATGATTACAATGCAGTGACGTGACATTTGACAGCAGCTGATGCAATTTGTTGCAATTGATAATTGTGTGAAATTACAGAAATTAGAACATGCACATCAATGGCCAATGACATAGCGATCGCCTAGCAGGGCAAATGAAAATGAAGACAGTCTCGTAAAATGTATATTCGGTTCCATTTATTTTTGCATCAGGTCCTCCTTGGGAATATAACTCACTCACCCTCGTTTAATTAATGACTTGACATATCAAAATTATTTTTTATTTTATGGTTATGGATTGATAAGCAATGTTGCCAGATTGTGTCTGTGTTTTTTTATTTATTTATTTAATTTATCCTCGAATTTATCAATGACTCAAAATCAGTGTAAATACCTACATACTCTGGTATTTGAGCATACTTACAGTTATTTGCAGTAATAACGTTCTTATTATTAATTACATGTTAATTTGTTACTTACTATTTTTAATAATTTAGTCAAATTGTAAAAACTGGCCTTTGACAATTTTGTTTGTTCAAATTGTTTTATTTTTTTAATGTCCCTGATTTTTGTTTGTTAATAAACGTTCTTTGTTGGTGAATAAAATTATATTTGAAAATTGTCTCTACTGCCTTATTCTGAGCTCTTTGCAGTCTCATCTCTACATGACAATTGACAGTATTTCCGCAGCATGAAACTGAATACTTTATGTGTAGTAAGATAAAACTCACTGTAGATAAAACCATTGTATAATAGCAGTCTTGATTTTTCGCTTAAATATTCAGCATTTCTTATTGCACATACCATGGGAACTATGTTGCTAATCAGGTTTTCTATGTGTAGGTCCCAATTTAAGGCACATGTTAATCACAATGTTAATATTACCCAGATATTTATTTATATTTTCAGTTACTTCTTTTAGTTTTATTAGGAAACAGATGAAGATCATTTTTTGTGCTATATGCATACAGGGTGGTCCAACAAGCTTGCCTCAATCAATAGTTAGTAGCCAAACTGTTGAACTTTAAAAAAAATGTTCTGCATAATAGGTATTTATTTTATTAGGAGTATAAGTAATAGTTATTTGACGCGCATGGAAGTTTGAAAAGAAAAATTATACCTACCTTTTAAGCTTTAGAGAATTTTTTTTATAAACATTATTGTTCAAATTTTATTTACCAATATACAAGGTGAAATATTATAATAAATCTTGATATCTGAGTTATTATTATTATTGTGGCGGAGGTATGACAATTTATTTATTTATTTATTTATTTATTCATCAAGTATCAACAGCCAAGAGTCCAATCACAGATACAAACTTACATCTATTACAAGTAAACTTTAAATCTAATTCTAATCAAAAGATTCACAATATAATAAAGTAAAAAAAAAAACAATTCAAAAAAAATAAACAAAAACAATACTCACATTCCTAGCTTTTCATCAATAATTTTCTTAAAAGCTTTGATATTTATTGTGTCTATCAATATCGAAAGCATACAAATTAAAAACCTGACACATTTTATATATGGGAGAATTTTTGTACAGATTAGTACGAGGATATGCCAAATAAAAAACATTCTGATTTCGCGAGTTGAATCGATTTATTGCAAATGGTAACTGGGCAAGCATTTCTGGACAATCAATTGTTCCCTTCAAAATATTGAACATTGTGCACAAAATCACCCTATCCCTTCTTTTGCTCAAGGAAAGCCTATCAAAAATGCTCAGTAGGTAGCCCTGATCACAACCTCTTTGCGGATAAATACCAAATTTTCGAAAATACATGCATTTGAGGAAGTTTCGTTGTACCCTTTCTATTAATGTAACCCACACATTGTATTGCGGAGACCAAATTATGCTATCAAGAAGATGTAGACTCGCCTCTATTCTAAAGTTTTTTGTGTTTCTCGAGATAAATCCTGCCACCCTCTGTGCACTTTCAATTTTAGATGCCATATGACCAGAGAACGACAAGTTAGAATCAAACACCACTCCAAGATCTCTCTGTTGGCCAACTCGTTTGAGATTAGTACCATTTAATTTATAGTCATAATTTATAGCATTGTGGTTAAGGGTAAAGGACATGTAAAATCGTTTTTATTTTTTCCCGGTCTTATTTGAAAAGCAATTTTAAACATACAGGTACATTTTGCAATATTCATTTTAAAGCTATTATTTTCGCACCAATTAGTCACACTACAAAAATCATTCTGCAGTTGCACACAGTCTTCAACGGAATTAATCTGGAAAAAACATTTGAAATCATCGGCGAACATGAGGGCCACAGCATTTTCCAGGTTTCCAACAATATTATTTATTGTTGCCAAGAAGAGGAGAGGGCCCAAATTAGAACCCTGAGGCACACCAGAGGTGCTTTTAAAGATCCGTGATTTGCAACCTTTAACTTCAACATATTGAAACCTGTTACTAAGACATGACTGAGTTAGCCCAATCAAATACAAAGGCACGTCCATATTCTGGAGAGACTTAATTATTACGCAGTGTCTGACCCTGTCGAATACCTTCTCCATGTCCGTGTAAATAACGTCAACCTGCGATTTATTATTTATGGCTCCATGCACATATTGACTAAATGTGGCTAAGTTGGTGAATGTTGACCTTTTAAAGGTATCATCATTGCAAAAAAAAAATTGAAATGTAAAGAGGATCGTATGGCTGTGATAGCAGATATAGCTTGTCAAAGTACGTAGGTCCTGCTATGGTATGCATAGGAAATATCCGAGGAAGTATCCCTACGTAAATTTTCTTGAATATCTCGAAAAATACTAATCCGATTTTGACGTTTTTGGGATTTGATACCTATAAAAGGACCCCAAAACCGTCAAAATTGGATTAGTATTTTTCGAAATATTCAAGAAAATCTATGTAGGGATATTTTCTCAGATATTTCCTATGCATAGCATAGCAGGACCTACGTACTTTGACAAGCTATATCTGCTATCACAGACATACGATCCTCTTTACATTTCAAATTTTCTTTTGCAATAATGATACCTTTAAAATATTTGGTTAAAATTTACGGGGGCCTATTTTCAATGTAAATCGTGCCTCCTTCTTTCACTAAATAACAATTCAAATATAATCATTTCAAATACTTTGGAAACTGAACTCAGAATAGATATGGGGCGATAGTTTTTAATATCCTGTCTAACACCAGATTTAAAAATCGGAATGACTTTACCTATTTTCCATTTTTCTGGATAATTTGATGTTTTTATAATTAGATTAAATACAACTTGCAGCGGTTTCAATGGATGTTGGCTATAGCCCTTTAGAATATAGGCTGGTATTCCATCTGAACCAATTGCCTTGTTTTCTTTGAGCCTTCTGATTGCCATGTCTGTATCATCTGTCGAGATAGACTTCTCACAAAAGAAAGATCTTGGGGCACCAGAGGAACATGAAACATCATTGTCATTTATATAAACAGACTTGAAGAAATCAGCAAAACCATCCGCCACCCGCTGAGAGCCCACATAGGTTTTATCATTATTTATCATCTCCTGAAGAATATCTGGCGAGTCCTTGAGTCCTTTTAGGTATGACCAAAACAACTTAGGATTACTCTGTAAGGCTGATTGAACCTCCTGGAGATAATTGCTATAAGCCAGCCTGATCCTGTATTTTATAATAATAATAATAATAATATCTTTATTAGTAGCACCAGGCTAGCATAGAATACTACAATACAAAAGCAAAAAAAAATACATACATATACAGGGTGTCACGAAAGGTTTGTTACAAACTTCTAGGGATGGTAGATCTCATAAAAATAAAACTTTTTTCTTAATAAACATGTGTCCGGAAATGCTTCGTTTTCCAGATATACAGGGTGGCCCGAATTTGGGCCTCATCATTGGTATCTCGGTAACCGTAAGAGATACGGGGTTGGTTAAATTATGGCAAAGTTGCGCAATTTTGTGACCAATAGAATACCGTTTTGAAACTAGAAAGATTCCGAATACTTCCGGAGATAATCGGAAAAAACCAAAATTTTGTAAAATCGTTTTTATATTTTCCCGGTCTTATTTGAAAAGCAATTTTAAAATAAATGTCACTTCATCATTGTCACTTCTTCCCCTCTAGTAGATGGTGGTACTAAATTTAAAATTCGACGTTTCGTCTTCAGGCGGCCATCCTTAACTTACGTTTTTTAAATACGAACCTAGATTTTTTATTTGCGATTTTGTCATCTTTGGGTATCCTAAAACCGATACTGTTTCTAATTTTTCAATAACACGGTAAAAAAGCAGGTCCGTATTTGAAAAAAAAAATTGATGATGATTCCAGAGGAACGAAACGTTGGATATCAAATTTAATACTGCCATCTTGTAAAGAAGAGAAAGTGACAATGGGAATGTGAAATTAGCTTTTCAGAATCATTTTAAATGAAATCAGGATAAAATTTAAGAAAAACGAGAAATTCATGTTTTTTTCGTATAGTTTTCATTTTTTCCTGATTTTATTTAAAAAGATTGTGAAAAACTAATTTCACCTTGCCATTATCACTTTTTCTTCTCTACAAGATGGCGGTATTAAATTTAAAATACGTTTCATTCCTCTGAAATCATGATTTTTTTTTTAAATGTGGACCTGCTTTTTTTGCTGTGTTATTGAAAAATTATAAACAGTATCGGTTTTGGGATGCGCAAAGATGACAAAATCGCAAATAAAAAATGCAGGTCCGTATTTAAAAAAAGGAAGTTGAGGATGGCCGCCTGAAGACGAAACGTCGAATTTTAAATTTAGTAGCACCATCTTCTAAAGGGGAAAAAGTCATAATGATGAAGTGACATTTATTTTAAAATTGCTTTTCAAATAAGCCCGGGAAAAAATAAAAACGATTTTACAAAATTTTGTTTTTTTCCGAATATCTCCGGAAGTATTCGGAATCTTTCTAGTTTCAAAACGGCATTCCATTGGTCATAAAATTGCGCAACTTTGCCATAATTTAACCGACCCCGTATCTCTTAAGGTTACCGAGATCCCAATGATGAGGCTGAAATTTGGGCCACCCTGTATATCTGGAAAACGAAGCATTTTCGAGATTTAACTAAAACCTCGACTAAAACTTACATCTATAGAAATACAATAAAAATTTACAAATACAATAGAAATACCTTTATAGAAGCTGAAACGCCTTGTCTACTGTTCCAAAAGCTTTTTGCAATATATTTTCATCACATGGTTCTTGATGACATGTTGCACAAGTCTTTTTAATCATTTCCAGCTCAATTTGGCTGCTTCTCAATGTATGATTTCTTTATTTATTTATTCATTACGATATCTACAGCAATAGCCAATTACAGATATTGACCTAACATATAATGTAACAATACAATAGAATATAATAAAACTTAGTAATAAAGTATGTTTAGTTTACACTCTTAGGTTTGGCTTTGATTAACCTTTTAAATGTGTTTAAGCTCGAATCAATTGGTATCAATGTTTGAAGCATTCAAGTTGAAAAAAGTGACACATTCTATTCAGGGTGTTTCGTACATCGATAGGAAGTTTTCAGTGAGTGATATTTGGGTCATTTGGAAGCTGTTTGACCCTACATATTTACTTACCCTGATGCAAAGTTTCGCCGTTTTTTGAGATATTGCCATTTTTAGATATTTTGAATCCATGTATTTTAACACATAACTTGGGTTACA